GAGAGGAAGAGGAAGGAGAGGGGGAAAGGAACTGAAAATAAGGGGAAAAGGGGAAAAAACGAGGGGAGAGGAAGAGCGGGGAGAGGAGGGAAGGAACTGAAAATAAGGGGAAAGGGGGGAAAGGAAAAAAAAAAAACAGGGGAAGAGGAAGGAGAGGGAGAAGGAACAGAAAATAAGGGGAAAAGGGGAAAAAAACGGGGGGAGGAAGAGGAGGGAGAGGGGGAAATTAACTGAAAATAAGGGGGAAAAGGGAAAAAACAGGAGAGGGAGAGGCTGGCAGGAGCCGCAGGGGCCGCGAGAGGTGCAGGAGGATGAGGAGCAGAACCCCCCCAGTTCCAGCCCCTCGGGAAGAGGATCCCACCCCTCTCCAGCCCCTCAGAATGAGGATGAGGAGCAGAACCCCCAATTCCCACTCCAGACCCTCGGGAAGAGGATGAAGAGAAGATCCCACCACTATCCAGTCCCCTAGGAAGAGGATGAAGAGCAGAACCCCCCTGGCCCAACCGCAGTCCCTCAGAAAGAGGATGAGGAGAGGATCCATCTCTTCTCCAGCCCCTCAGGAAGAGGATGAAGAGCAGAACACCCAATTCCTTCTCCAGCCCCTCAGGAGCAGGATGAGGAGAGAATCCCACCCCAGCCCCTCAGAAAAAGGACGAGGAGAGGATCCCACCCTTCTCCAGACCCCCAGGAAGGGGATGAAGAGCAAAATCCCCCTGCCCCAGCCCCAGTCCTTCAGGAAGAGGATGAGGAGAGGATCCATCTCTTCTCCAGCCCCTCAGAATGAAGATGAGGAGCAGAACCTGCCCCAGTCCCTCTCCAACCTGCCAGGAAGAGGATGAGGAGAGGATCCCACCCTTCTCCACCCCCTCAGGAAGAGGATGAGGAGCAGAACCCCCAATTCCCTCTCCAGTCCCTCAGAAAGAGGATGGGGAGAAGATCCCACCACTCTCCAGTCCCTTAGGAAGAGGATGAAGGGCAGAACCCCCCTGCCCCAGACCCAGTCCTTCAGGAAGAGGATGAGGAGAGGATCCATCTCTTCTCCAGCCCCTCAGAATGAAGATGAGGAGCAGAACCTGCCCCAGTCTCTCTCCAACCCACCAGGAAAAGGATGAGGAGAGGATCCCACCCTTCTCCAGCCCCTCAGGAAGACGATGAAGAGCAGAACACCTAATTCCCTCTCCAGTCCCTCAGAAAGAGGATGGGGAGAAGATCCCACCACTCTCCAGTCCCTTAGGAAGAGGATGAAGAGCAGAATCCCCCTGCCCCAGCCCCTCTCCAACCTGCCAGGAAGAGGATGAGGAGAGGATCCCACCCTTCTCCAGCCCCTCAGCATCAGGATGAGGAGAGAATCCCACCCCAGCCCCTCAGAAAAAGGATGAGGAGAGGATCCCACCCTTCTCCAGCCCCTCAGCATCAGGATGAGGAGAGAATCCCACCCCAGCCCCTCAGAAAAAGGATGAGGAGAGGATCCCACCCTTCTCCAGCCCCTCAGCATCAGGATGAGGAGAGAATCCCACCCCAGCCCCTCAGAAAAAGGATGAGGAGAGGATCCCACCCTTCTCCAGCCCCTCAGCATCAGGATGAGGAGAGAATCCCACCCCAGCCCCTCAGAAAAAGGATGAGGAGAGGATCCCACCCTTCTCCAGCCCCTCAGGAGCAGGCTGAGGAGAGGATCCCACCCCTCTCCAGTCCCTTAGGAAGAGGATGAAGAGCAGAATCCCCCTGCCCCAGCCCCAGTCCAAATCCCTCAGAAAGAGGATGAGGAGAGGATCCCACCCCTCTCCAGCCCCTCAGGAAGAGGATGAGGAGCAGAACCCCCAATTCCTTCTCCAACTCTCCAGGAAAGGGATGAGGAGAGGATCCCACCCTTCTCCAGCCCCTCAGGAAGAGGATGAAGAGCAGAACCCCCCAGCCCCAGTCCTTCAGAAAGAGGATGAGGAGAGGATCCACCCCTCTCCAACCCCTCAGAATGAGGATGAAGAGCAGAACCCCCAATTCCTTCTCCAGCCCTCCAGGAAAGGGATGAAGAGAGGATCCCGCCCCAGCCTTTCAGGAAGGGGATGAGGAGGGGATCCCACCCCCCTGCAGCCCCTCAGGAAGGGGATGAAGAGCAGAACCCCCTGCCCATCCGCTCCTCCCCGGGAGCCCCCGGCACAGATAAAGGAGCCCCGGTGCTCCCCGGGGCGCGTTTAATCTGGGCCAGGACAGTTATTGGATAAATACCATGAATATGGAAATTGCATTTATGCTGATTTACGGCCGGGGGTGGGGGCAGGTGGGGAGCGCAGACGCTTTCGTTTACTTTAATCCATTTATTTCCCTGCCTGGAGATGGAGAACAAGCTCGGAGCGCTGCAGCTGCTGCTCCCTGTCCTCCGTGCGGCCCAAAAAAAAAAAGGGGGGGGGGCAGGAGGGGGTGCCCCCCACCCTGGCATCCCGGAGCTGCTCCCCTGGGATGGATCTGGCACGAGAGCGGTGGGATTTCAATTCGTTCCTGAGCCCCGCAGGCTCCTGAGCTTTCGCGGGGTGTGGGGAGGAGTGGAGGTGATTAATGGGGAGATCGGGGGGGGGCTTCTCCAGCCGGACCCCCCCGGGGTGGGATGGGGAGCAGCCCCTTGGTCTGGGGAGGAGCAGGGAGGTGCCGAGGAGGGGGACAGAGAGGCTGGGAGCACCAGGAATGGGAAAAGCGGGAGGAAAAGGGTAAAAAACAAACCCTAAAGGTGGAAAATCCCACGGCGCCCCTCTCCTCTGGCTGCCCCCCGCCCCAAAACCACCCGGGAAGCAGCGGGAGCTGCGACGTGAGGAGGGGGATGCACCTCTTAATTCCCTCTTAATTGCCGATCAACCCAATTAGCTCCTGGCTGGAATAAAGGGCAGCTGCTTGGCCGGGGCCAGCTCTCCTTCCCTCTCAAAACGCATCCCAAAATCATCCGAAAATGCATCCCGAAACCAACACCCCGCCCTGGCATCCCACCAGGAGCCGGCAGGGAAGGGGGCTGGGGGGGTGAGAGGCTGATAGGAGGGGTTTTACCCAATTTTCCAGCTGACTCTAATTAAGTTGTTCTCTTCAGCTGTTAAATTAGCCGGAGCCCTCCCCCCTTCCCAGGGTGGTTCCC